TCCATCCCTTGAGCATCCTCACGGGCACCAGACCTTAGTTCTCTATCTCACTTTTATTTCTTCCTTCTTTCATTCATAGTTTCTTCTTTGTACCCATAAGCTACTGAACTCCCCTTCTCACTTAGTGGGAGAAGTGGAGGAGGTGAGAGTAGAAAAGAGGGGAGTGACAGAGAAAAAAGAATCAATTTCAGCTTCAGCCACCTCAAGTTGCCATAGTAAAGTTTCCTAGTGTCCATTTGTCAATTCTCTTTTTCTAAATTGGGAAGAGGCATAATGTTAGAGTGGGTGGAGGTCTGGAGCCTTTGGCAAGGTCTCTGCTAGTAAGGGCTTCCTACTATCATCAGTGAATCTAAGACCTCATTTCTCCAATTTGAACATTTGCTGTAAAGACTGATCCATAACCTTGAAACTTTGCTGTCACATTCAGGTTCATAATTGTTCTTGTTTATTTAGCTTTGGGAATGCAAAACTGTTTCCCTAATACTGACCACCTTAAACATTTACATTTCACATTTCTGTTCCAGCCAGCCTTCTTTGGCTACAAGATACCCATTTAAATGATCTCAACTAAACAGAAATTTATTGTAAAGAGGCATGTGGAATCTCATGGGGACCTAAGAACAGAATTATAATATAGCTGTGCCCTATGGTCCCTGACGCAGGGGGATGGCAAGGCATCCAAGGCAGCTTTGAAGGTCTTAATATAGGACTTTGTAGGTCTTCTCTCTAGGATAATATAATCATTGTTGCCATAGTCTTTGGAGTCAGACAGTCTTGGGTTCATATCTTAGTGTTGTTATTTATTGATTTTGGCCAAATTACTTCATATCTCTTTGAAGAGCCTCAGATTCTTCAGTGTGATATGGGAGTAATTTTAGATCTCACTTCAGTAGGGTTCTTGTGAATCTCAAATGAGATGATATATATAAATCACTCGCATCATACCTGACATACACGTAAGTCGTTAAAAAGGTTAGCAGTTGTCTTTAAAATTAACAGGGCTCAATAATCACCTATACTTTTTATCTTTACTTCTAGTTTGTGTTCTCTAATTATTTAATCCTGTTCATGATGTTGGGGAAATAGAAATTAAAAAAAAAATCTTGTCCCAACCCAGAAATGCTCTCTATAAAGATAGAGAAAGAAAGCACTTTTACTATTGAATAAGCATGAAACCAGAGTGCAGCACACATCACAGGAAACCCCCTAAGAGCTTGCAAAGACAGAAAGGAAGCTCACCTCTTTATGTAAACAAACAGATACAACCCAATACATGCATGTTTTCAGGTAAACAATGACTAGTCCTCAATAAAAAGACCTTGGCAGCACTATTTGTCACACAAATAGTATATCATAATGTTACCTGCTGAGGTGACCATTTGTGTTAGCTAACTGACCTCATCCGGAGGAAAAACAAACTTCCCATATCTTTATTACAGGATGTAGTTTTGCAACTTGGAGCAAGATATTAGTCTCTCACTCCCACAGAACCTGGGAGACAGGAACGTTACCTTCCTTAATGTTTACATTTCAAAGAGAGGGCTCTCATGTCCCTGAGAAAGACCTTCCTAGGTCAAGGCTGACAAAATGCTGATCTAGTCTTCAAAAGGGTTTATTTACATTTCAAAGAAAGGAGAAAGTACTTGCAAGTTTTCTAAAATAAATGTTCAGGGAAAAAGGAGGGAAGGACAAGTTCTTCCCTTATTTTCAATAGGAAGAATGAAGCCTTTTCTTTTTCATTTGTAATCGTCCTTATAAATGATATAATGGTCTCTCTGGTCTGCCTCTAAACCATGACTTTCCTGATGTGCCGCTGCACGAAATGGAAAATTCCTGAGTGAAAGAACCTGATTGCTTCTTCTAGTCCTTTGTAGCAAGTTGATGGCCAGCCTCCGGATTGGGTAGTCTGAGGCAGGCACCCATTTGTAATCCAATTAATTTATGGCAAGAAGTGGAAAGAATGATATAGAAGAAAAAATGGCCTTAGAAATGTCTGGCCAGAGCTGCCCTTTGAAAGTGGTTGTGAACTTGGCAAATACCCCCATATATTTAGGACATCTTTCCCTTTGTCCTTCAAATGCCCTAGATAACCTCTCTTAGTATCTCCAGTGCTTTCTAGGATACTAACCTCTTAGTAGGTACTCAACAGATATTGTTGGTTAAATGAATTCATGAATTATGTTCTTAGCAGATTGGAGTCTTGTTAGGTTGAAAGCATCTCTGAAGTAAGATTGTTATTCATTAAGTGGGACATACATAAATTGCTGAAAATTACAGAAAATGGTGCTATAAAAGCAAAGCCTTTGAAACAGAGAAGCCAACTTGAATGTTTCCATATGAATGATTATCACATCCTCTTTATTTAGCGGATGTCTTTATTTGAAAATTTCTCCTTTTTTAAATCTCTCTTGGAGAAGGGAAAAGATATTTTAGTGGCAGATATAAAGATTTAGAATTTTGAACAATTAAAATTTAATAAAATTCTTTCATTTCTGGGAAGACTAGATTGAGCCAGTTATCTTAGATATAGAGATTTTGTTTTGTTAACTACAGAAATAGTGCAAATATTTCTTATAGAAAATGAAAAAGAAAGGTCTTATGGCTTTTCTTTGGAGAACACCAAACTGACAGGTTCCCTCCAATCCCTCCCACCTTCCATCTAACCTATCTTTGAATTTATCCAAGAGAGAAAAGAACAACCTGCAATATTTGGTTACTATCTAAGGCAATAAGTCCGGAGTTCTGTTCTTCTATAGTTTCATATGAATCGTCACCTCAGGAATGAGCAACTTACAAGAGATGCTTTGGATCCCAAAGGGTTTGGGTGAGGGGAGGGAGTTGAATAAGTGGACATTGAGTCTCACCACTGGAGTAACAAGAACCTCATGCCTGGCCAATGGTGGGTGGCAACACCATGCTTCTATGTGAAGAGCAGCATGATAAAGATGATTTCTATTGGGAAATGTGTCATTCTGGAGTTCCAGCTTCCTGGCATCAGTGTAGGAGGTACCCTTCAGAGGAGATAGTCCGCCAGAGCTTTTTAAAAAGATACGTATAACAAAGGAAGATGCCGCCAAAGAAAATCGATAGATTTTAGGTGATTGTGTTAACGTTGTGATCTCATGAGTTCTGTGGTCATGCCTTTCTACTGGAACTTGGGAGAGCACACACACCTCTGATTTTGCAACAAATCTTTAGACTATCATGTTGTTATGTTTATTCTCTGCAGGCTTATTAGGGAAATAGAGGATTATTCCTGGTCTTTGGGCAACAACAAGTCATTGGTGAACCCTAATATAGCAGTACAGTCTATTACTGTCTCTTCAGAAGGCACTGTGGGGTCTACAGGTGTCCTCTTCACTGTGAAGAAAGGTGAGCTGTTTGTTTTGTGTGGTTGTAATTCTGCTACCAACCATAAATGATGTTCTGTTCATTAAAGTGTAGACTTCTAAAATATGTTTTTTTTTCCCTCTCATAGGAGCTAGCAGTTCTCTTGTTTCTGGTTCCACAGATGTAGATACAAATGTGGACAGCCTTCGTCCAGATGACACGACTGAACTTCAGATCTGGCTCAATACTTCGAAAAGTAGGTCTCAAACTTTGTTATATTAAAAAAATGCACTCAAATTCATGGAATTAATAACTTAAAAATCACTGGGTGCAAAATAATGTTTGCTTAGTTATACACTGAATAATTTGCATTTGAGTATGTTTGAGCTCTGCCAGATTATGGTAATCTCTTCTATTCTAGGTCATAGAGATAATTACTTTTCTTTTTTTTTTTTCATTTTCTAAAGACTAAATTTATAATTCTCATTGGTTAACAAATCTTTATTGGCCACAGGAGTTGCAGATATCTTCCCTCCAGTCTATAGTTATCTTTAGCTTGTTTTTTAAACATCCTTTGTCATACCTAAATTTTAACTTATAGCCGGTCCAATGTATCAATCTTTTCCTCTATAATTGTCACCTTTTAAAATAAATCCTTCCCTATGCTAAAGTCACAATGACAGTCTCTTATATTTTCTTCTGAATTTTTTAGTGTTTACATTTAGGTCTCAGTGCACCTAGAATTTATGTTTGTGTTTGGTGAAAGATAGGGATCTAATTTTTTTAAAAAAAATATATATCTTTATTGATTTCAGAGAGAGGAAAGGAGAGGGAGAGAGAGATAGAAACATCCATGATGAGAGTCATTGATCGAGCCCACAACCCAGGCATGTGCCCTGACCAGGAATTGAACCCTGATCGCCTGGATCCTAGGTTGACACTCAACCCCTGAGGCACACCCGGCCGGGCAGGGATCTAATTTTTTATTCCATATAAACTATCAATATAGTTGAATGGGTTTAAAAAACAACAACACTGTCTGGACACAAGAACTCAGAATGGACTGAAAGGGACATATTTTTATATCAATTTTTTAAATGCCTCCTACATTATCTATATTTTAATTCTTTGTTCCCTTAAAAAGGCATCATTAAAATGTATGAGCAAAAATGATTGGAAATGCAGGGGCACATCGACCAAACCCCTTTTATAGGGAGAGGTTTTAGGGCAACTATCTCAGAAATTGAAGATCAAGTAGACAAAAAATACCTAATAAATTTGACCTTTATATATACTTGTGTGTGTGTAATTTTGTTTGTAGACAGAAGACACATAGTAAAAATTCTTTTCAAATATCAATAGAGTGCTTTTAAAACTGTCCATGTATTAAGCCACCTAGAAAAGCTTATAACATTTTGTAAAATAAAAACACAGGACATAGTTACTGATCATGCAATAAAAGTAGGTATGTTCCACAAAAGAATAGCCAACATTTTATCCAATTAGAAATTTTAAAGCACCCTTGTTAGAAAGGAAACTAAAGTTCAAATTACTTGAAAATTAATGGCAATGAGAACATTGGTGGAGCCAGATTCTTTCCATCATCTCTTTTTTCTTTTTTAAATGATCATATAATTTACAAACACTGATCTTTTTTTGCTTATTTTATTTTTTTCCCCATCACCATTTAGTCCCCCCATAC